CACAGGGAGACTGGGAAAAGTGATTGAGGGAGAGTTAAACTGGAGGTTACTATATAAACAAACTACAACATGCCCAGGCCTGAGCTGAAGACAGCTGCAGGCTGAGAGCAGTGGGGTCAGTATCACACGTGCCTACCTGCTCTTGCTCTTCCCTAGGCATCTACTTGTGAGCAGGGTTGGAGACAGGATACTGGGTTGAACGGACCCTTGGTCTGAATCACTATCATAATTTTCATTTTCTTATGTTCTCTGTTTGTGTTAGAGAGATAAACAGTTCGTGTCAATTGAAAGCAAGAGAAACTGTAAATATCCAAACTTCCTATGAAGTATGGCTCACTCAGTCAATGCTCGTGAATGCCTGACAGTAACAGGAGAATTTTCTCCCAGTTTAGCCACAGCTACTCTTTTCATTGCTAATTAGCAATTAAGTCCTTAGACAGAAAAAATATTAATGGAAAAAAAAAACCCACCTTTTGTTATTGCAAAGAACTAGGGAGAGGGATATCAAATGCAATGGAGCAGGGGGGGGGAACCAGATAATAAGAAACATTCCCAACCTGGAAAATTAAAATCTCGGGGTGTTTGAGCTACTGCAACACTTTCCTGACTGCTAATTAACTTTAAAGGAGGCGGGGGAAGCAGGAGAGGGAGAAGGAGGCTACAAGAAACTTCACTCTGTCCCAAGCAGTTGCCCAAATAGCAAAAATAAATAGATTCCTGAAACTATGAAATTTGAATTTCATAAAGAACTCTCTGAAGAGCTCTCAAAAACTAATGGCTGCTCACAAGATTGGTAAGAAATTGCTGAATATGGCTGCTGAAATCCTTATAATGAGCCTTGGCCAAATACAAACATGAAAGGTTTTTTTTTTAATTTTGTAAAATTATTAGAGATCATTCTGACAATATTTGAGAGAAAGGTACTTTAGCATATATTAGGAATTAACACAGGAACTAATCCTGTAAACTTTTACAATCTTACTCAGAAATAGGGGGGGTGTCACCTCTACAGTGAAATCACTGCTGTCAATCTTATGTGGAGAAATATTTAATGATTTTATGCTCTTCAAATTCATAAACTCCTCAAGGCTGAGACTATAGCTTTCATTTGTCTAAAATCACAATGCATACCCACAGTGTTGCAGTGTTTTCCAGTTTTAAAAGCCTATTATTTACCAGTAGTAAAATAAAACATTTTTCCTCTCATACACCTGTGAAATATTTTAGCATAGGCATCTATCCATCTGATGCATCATTAATGTGTTCTCTGAAGTCCTTCCTCCATAAAATATACTGCCTTTTTAATACTGTTTTTATATTCAGGTAGACCTTTTCAAATGTTGCTAACATTAATAATAGATATGATAACAATATATATTGGGGAAGACAAAAATATTCTGTGCTCCAAGAGAAAAGAGGCCATTTACTTTATACATGTTATGCTCACTCTTTACATTAAACCTCCAAAAGAGACCAAGATAATTATGAGTCCAGGAGCTATGTCAAAAACCTGGGTGGGAATCCAGGAGTGTTTCTGATACTCCATGCCAGGATAAGACGGAGCATGCGTTGGCTCCCACCCAGCCCAGAAAAAGCTTGGGACACACGGGCTGGGCAACAGCCATCATTTGCTCTGACCAGGCTCCTGTAGCAGAAGATAAGGACAGGAAGGGAAACAGGACCCCAGAGGAGGCTGCATGCCGACAGAGACCCGGCCAATGCCTGGGTGATGTCCAGGCAGAAACAATTTCCAATGCAGGGTGAATGCTGAGGAAGAGAGCAGGAACAGGGAAAATAAAAAAAAGACCCCTTGGAAATACTCTAATATTCAGCAAGTTTTGCATGGAGAAAAGTTAGCATAAACAGTGTAATTTTTTTCCTTTACTGTTTCTGTGAGGTATCATATTAAATAGTCTATCAGATAACATTATGTAGGTACAGTATATAAACTCCTAGCATTTTTCCTTTAGTTTCCCATGGCTTACCATAAACAGACCTTATGCATGGGGGAAAAAATGAAGGAAAACACATACTTTTGGCTTGGTCATTGTATGGTCTATGAAAAACAACTCTAATAAAACAACAATAAATCTCAAAGTCTTTGGGCAACGTCCATTTCAGCTTCTTTCCTAGTTTTTGCCCAGTCTCCACAAAAGTGAATTCTACTTGCTAGCAGTATACAAATACCAACAGCCCTTAGCCGTTTAAACAGAGTGTTTTGTTGGAAGGTCTCGTTATTTCTGTTGCCAGAAGGGATGAAAAGACAAAAATAAGACATCCCCCCTGAGGGGAAGTAAACTTTAACTCAAATCTGGGTTTCTGGAGTCCTTGCCCAATTCTTTACCACGCTGCTTCCTGTATAACCAGGAGAGTGCAGCCGAGCAGGATTTGGGCTCGTGTTTTATACTCAACATATGTTGGTGAGTGACAGCTGTAGCCTTGCTTTCCGGCACTGTCACAGCCCATTTCCAGGCAGGGCTATCCCCAGTGCCTGCAGCACGGTGCGTGTCACCTTCGCCCTGGGAAGCTGGGGAAGATAGCTGAGAGGTGCGTGTCTCCCCCGATCCTGACAGCACAGAGGGCAGCGGGTGAAAAATGCAGATGGTGCAAGGTTTGCACAGAGCTGCAAGAGGACACAGCTCAGCTGTTTATTGCCCTGGGCTCTGGGCCCAGTCACTTGATTTCCGCCTCAGATTCTCCACACAAAAACCACGACTGACGGCACTCGGCCCTTGGTCGATGGGTGAGGGCTCACCGAATGCTTCAGGGAGACGGAGGGGTACCCATCGGTGAGCCGCCCCCGCTCCCCTCCAGCGGCACTTGGGGATGAGCAGCAGCCGTTATACAGCAACGCCAGTAAGTATGCGATACACTGTGTGTATTAGTAATAGTTATCACGTGTAGCAAGTAACAGCGGCGGCTGACGCGCACGTAACGGGTGCGATCTCTCTAACGGAGCGGCAGCAGCAGAGGGAGGGCTGCTCCCAGCCCCGCCGCCGCAGGGCTACGCTGGGCCGCGGGCAGCAGGTTAAAGCACCCACGGCCTGCGCTGGGGCCCGGAGTCGTTTTGAAACCGGTTTCTGGAGGGGAGCACGAAAACCAGGAGCAGCGACCAGCTCTTTCTCTGGGGAGGCGGTGCGAGCCGTGGGGTTCAGTTCCGGGGTGAAGCGGGTGTGCGAGAGCCGCTCGGCGCCAGTCTGGCCGGCTTCCCCCAGCTCCTTCGTATCCTACTGAAACAGTGATTTTCCCTGTAGCTTTTCCTCATGTTTCTCACGTAAGGAAATTTGTTATTTGAGTCCACAGGCCATATCGGATTCCCAAGACAGAAGCTACCCAGTGCTTCCAGAAAATGGCAGGTAAGAACAAATACTAATGAAAATGCCGTTCGCCTCAGGCCTGGGCATGCTGATGTGTGGCATATCTGTAATGTTTAGTTGGGATACTAAGGTATTACTTTTTCAAATGGCTGAAATTACTTCAGTAAGTGATGCCTTTGAAAACTCCAGTCTCTCTGAACACTGTGCCCGAGTGCCCTCAGCTCCCCTGACATGGAAGCAAACCAGCAGCTTGCAGAATTAATCTTACCGCATCTGTGAGCTTGTATCATCTCCAGCCGCTGAACTACCTGTTTGCCGAGAGTCAGCAGGAGCAGCAGAGAGGTAACTGCCCTTGATATTCCAGAATGAGTTATGGAGCAGGGGTTTAAATAGTTTATACACATGTTAAATTTATGGTAGCGTTTGACCACAAATTTTAATAGTCTTTCGGCAAAGCTATTGTTTCATGGACACTATGTACATTGGAGAAATAATCACCCCTTATAATTTAGGTTAAAAATGAGGTATTGTTTCTTCAAGCATTCAGCCTGGGTGCTGTTAATTATCCCTGACACCTTAAACTTACCTGCCATCCTGGTGGTGCTCTGGGCCGTACAGCTTCTGCATCCCCTGGAGAAACTGAACTCGGGAGATGTCTGACTTTTTGTGCTGGCAGTTAGGAAGCAACAGCTGCATGTTTTGCAGATCCAGTCATTTTCAATAGTCCCTGGAAATTTCCCTCTCTGCAGTGTTTATGTATAAACAATGACTACCCCATGAAAGTATTTCACCTGTCCCTTGTGTTCAGCGATGAATGATTTTTTTTAGAGAATGATTAAAATTGAATGGCCTATGTACAATAAAATTTTGAACAAGTAAGGTATGATACACCTTGTTACATCAGTTTAAGAAGCTCCATCCCTACGTATCCATCTTGCCACTCAGCTTACTTCAAATCCACTTTGTCAGCAGTTTGAGATACACTGAACAGCTCACTCTGATATCTAAGAAAAAAATCACGTCACTTTCTGTTGAAGTTGCTGTGATGGTGCTGAAGTGGGATAGTGACATCTTATACATCTACCCCGATGTTGTCACTTGCGCAGCACTGAACTGGAGATGAGGGGATCCCACATTGCAGTAGGAAGATGCTCTGAGCTCTCAGAAGTTGTTTCCACAACATTTTGGGGGAATCTAAGCTGGCACTGCTTTGATCGCAGCACGCCCCTCACACTTGCGCTGCAGCTCATCTGACCCAGCGTAGGGAGCTAAACCAGCAGACAGCTTTTTTTTTTTTTTTCTGTTGTTGGGTGAGTTTTGGGGGGGGGCAGTGGAATCAAATAAACACAAATGCTGACTCAAGAGGAGGGACCGGGTTGTGCTGATGCAGGGCAGCGTGACCTGCTATGGAAATGCACCCACTGTCCACCGAGTTCCACCTGGGAAAGCCCAGTGTAGCACAAAATTGCTGGGTTGAGGGCATTCACTGATTAGTTCCTCATGAGTCACTCATTGCTGCCAAGCAGGAGTCAAATTCTGCCACTGTCATTCTATTTTCACTAGTTTTGTGCCGCTTGGAAAACACACTGTAGAAAAATGAAGGACCAGGGCCTGGCTCCACAAACTGTTTTGTATCTGCCTCCTAGACTCAAAGGTATCTTCTGGTTTTCTTTCTGCCTCCAGGGAGAAAAGTCCTGATAGTCTATGCACATCAAGAGCCCAAGTCCTTGAATGGATCTTTGAAGAGGGTTGCTGTGGAAGAATTGAGCAAGCAGGGCTGCAGTGTCACAGTGTCTGATTTATATGCAATGCAGTTCGAGCCAAGAGCAACAAGAAATGACATTGTTGGTGAGACTAGCCAAAATACACTTTTTTCAACAATAACGATGAGACAAACTTTCACCTTGTCTATCCTGCTGCATTAACAATCCAGAACCATGCTGTTAGGCGCACTCCGAAAAAAAATTGCTATTATTTTGTACAAATATCCCTCAACTAACAAGACCCAGCTTTTTATTTTCTATCAGCATTGACCAAGAAATGTCAGCGTAGGAAACCAACAGGTATCATCTTTATTTAAATAAATCTGATTACTAGAAATGGCCCCTCAATCAGAAAAATGAAATGTCTGTATATACAGATTTGTAAAACAGTGTTTTGCCTTCAGACTAAAGTGAATGAGGGAAAATATTATTTTTACAGTATTTGCAATCAACTGCAGAGACATTCTAAGAACCACCTTCTCTTAGCAAACAAGATTACAAATGCTTTCTGCAAGTTAGCTCCAGGCACTTAAGTTCTTGGGCTTTTGAGTTGTCTTGGCACCTCCTGACTACCTTGGTAGTATATGATTACTAAAAATGACTAGATGATGCAGTTAAGACTTGAGAAAAACAGTGATGCTCTTGTTAGGCTTATGTGATATTTTCCCTGTGTTCTTACTAGCATTTAGGCCCAGTATTTTTCCAGGTTAGGAAACACAAAGCAATAACATAATCTGCGACAGCTGAAACGCTTTCTTTAAAACGAGAATCAAAAAGAAATAGCAGAAATTCAGTGCAAGCACTGGCAAAAACAAGAAAAAAACTTATTAATGACCAGACACAAACATTTCTAAAAGTCCACTGCTGAATATGAATCTTATCTCATAGTGACATTACTGCAAGGGAAAAATGCATTAGCACGTGTCCACAATCACTCTCTGAAGTCCATTTCTCATGGGTGAGAAATGCCTTCAGATACCGTTGTATGACGTGCTAGAGTTTCGTTCACGAGGCAACTGCCTCTCGCTTCTGCTAGAGACTGATGACCTACTAGTTGAATCAGCAGAATGAATGTATATGTCTGATTCAGACATACTTGAATCAGCTCACCCAACTGTAGTGGAGTCAGCAGAGCCGGCCAATACGGGTTCCCCAGCCCCTGCTAAGTTTCCTGGTTACGGAGGCTGAAAAGCAGCTATATAGTGCTTGTGACTGCGTGGTGGTTTCAGTAATCCCTAATGCAGAGGCAGACCAATTAGCAAAATTCTCTTAAATCCTCTTAAATCATCCACCTGCATCACCAGAGTCTTGAGGCAAGCTTGGGTCCTCTTATTGCACTTCATATGTTGCTATAGAAAGGTAGAAGTTTTAGTACTCCGGGACACTACTTTCCTCTCCAGTTTAAAATCAAATCACCATCAGCTGTGATGATGCTGAATATCCACCGAAAAAAAAAAAAAAGAAGGAAGTGGGAAAAAATGGAAAGCAGTAACTCAATTTAGAACTGTAGACTGCAACCTGTATTTAATTCGTATCTGACTGTGATGCTAGAAACAGGGCAAGAAATGACTGTGCACTTCTACCCACAGGTTGCTTGCACAACTCAGAAGAGTTCAACTATGGCGTGGAGGCATGGGAAGCTTACAAGAGAGGAGGTTTGTCCAATGATCTGATTGAAGAGCAAAAGAAGGTGCAGGAAGCAGACTTAATGATTTTTCAGGTCATTATTTTAAATTTTATTAAAAGACTGAAGTTGTAATGTACGGGGTTGAACAAAAGAAAAGCAATAGTAAATGAGAAGATTATAGATTTTATTAGGAACATTGAATCTACCCAGAATAAAAAAGAGGTAGTAGCTCTGCCATCAACACAAAACAGTCTGTATCCAGCGTAGCAATTTTCAGGTGTCAGGTTTTTCTGATAGGATGTGGATTTTAGAAAATATCAAGAATACCAGATCATGTGTAAGCATTATTCATGCTAGCACAGTATGAATTTTCCACACAAACAACGGCTCCACACTGGCATTTTTGAGGAGTAGGAAGACATCTGAAAATACCTGAGTAAAATTCACAGCAGTGCTTCACTTAAAAATTAATATTCAAAAGTAGTCTGATTGCATCGGTTTTGTGAAGACTGGTCCTCACACTACCTGAACTCCAAATTGACTGCATTGAGCAACTCGGACCAGAAAGTACTGAGTGCAAAACAATACTGTAATTCCCAACATGAGAATTGTGCCGTGCTATCAGGCAGCCCAATACAATCCCTTTGTCTTGGAGCTCACGCAAAGCAAACACAGATCTACACACAGAAATGTGCGTAAGGGCTTAAGGCAGCCCCGCCAAGTTACAGGTTCAGGATATGGTAACAAGACACCAGACCAACAACTTTAGGAATAAACACTTTATATCTAAGTAATGGTACAGTAACAAATACAGATCAGCAGCACAATTATCCAGGTTGAAACAACAGCAAATCCAGTAGTTCACCAACACTGGGCCAAACTTAATATTTGGATGCACAAAGACATAGGTGACCACGGGTGTCAGGCAGGCTGGCAGAAAGCAGGGCAAGGCTTATTTTCTGGGCGAGCAGCTGGGAGCAGCCAGCAGGCTCGGGGAATTTGGACTTCCCTGACCGGACTGTCCTCATTTATTGCTGAGTTGCAGAAGCACTATCTGGACTTGCTAACGCATCGTTACACCCCATCTCCGTCCCGCACTGTGCCAGCTCTGTCCTCAGTGTCTCCAAGTCCCAGAAGTACTGTATAAGGCAATACTAACCTTATATTTCTTTGTGTGCCTGTTGGCCTTAGGCATAGCCTATATATTTTCCACTGTCCGATTCTAGATGAAATTTAGGGTGTGACCATATCTCAATTAAGCATTTCACTGTAAGTCTTCATCATTTTTACACTATTGCTTCTGAGATAAGTGTAGTAAAACATCCCCTGAAGGAAGTGGTTGCTTTCTACTTTCTGTCTGTAGAATGCTCTGAAGAGTTGAGTATGTTCTGGTGCAGTAAAAAAAAAGAAAGAAAAAAAGCCTCTGAAAGACACCAAAAAATAATTTAAAATTTACTGCAGACTAAACTCACCACTTCTAGAGATAGTAGTGATTGCCCAGTTTCCACATTGTCTCAAATTAAGCCACATGGGGTTAAGCTTTTACAGAATTTCTTCTGTACTGCAGCATGTTAAAAGGTTTAGGGATAGCGATGCATCCTAGAATAAGAGTCCATAAAGCATGCAAGATAATGCAAATAAGACATGATAGCTTTAGGCTGTAGTCCCCTGGGCTGACTGGAGGATCTAGAAACAGAGGGTCCCTACTGTTAAAGAAGATGTTTTCTTCTCAGTAAAGCGATTCAGGGTCATCATATCAGCAGGGTGTGAAAGTAAGCCTCCCTTAAGATCCCATGGCATTTGTCAGCAGGCTGTCAGATCAGAACTGATCACCAGATGTCAGTCCTGGTAATGAGGCTCTCTGTGCATTTTGGCCACATTCTCCATTAGATCGTATGTTCCTCTTGCATTTCAGCAATAGGAGATGCAACTCTGTACAGTCTTAAGTTTAAATTAAATGGCACCTTCCTGCTTCATCATATTCCAACTTTAATTTGTGTGGAAGCCCTCACATTCACCATGGTGTTAGTGTGCTATAGATGCTCAGGTGTGTACCTGAGACTACTACAAACAGAAAGCGCCTCAGGTATTTTTGCCAAGCATAGTTATCGCCTCTCCTGATAGAGAGCTGGAAGAAGGCATGTACAAGATCTGAACAGATTAAATAGAATAGGATTTGGCCTGTAGACCAGGCCTAAGGGTGGCTCAGACCCTCTGTGCTAACAATGTAATTTACTTTTTGCCTAGTTTCCCTTGTATTGGTTCAGCATGCCAGCAATCATGAAGGGCTGGATGGACAGAGTCTTGGTCCAAGGATTTGCTCATGAATTTCCAAACTGTTATGATTCTGGTTTGCTCAAGGTAAGTTTTTGAGATTGTTTTATTAAGATCAAGATTTGCAAAATTCTCTTGAGAGTATTGGTCTTTCTTTTCCATTATATTTGTTCAAAGTTCTCACTTTACACTCTCCTGAAATAATGCTTGGTAACATGTTGAGTAACTTTCTGGCTTGTTAAAACTGTCTGAAATGTAGTACAATAAGGAGAATGAGGTGGTTCCTAAAGATTCTTCTAGAGATTTTTAGTTGGCCTGCAAAACGGGCTTTGTAATTTGGTAGGTGTATCAGAGTGCACTGGGATGGCATATGGCTTGCAAACAGTTTAAATCAATCCATTTCCTAAAACTGTAGTCTTTGTCATTCTTCCCACCACTGTAGGACTGCACAAATCTGTAACAAGTGACATACTAGAAGAGGTGACAAGATCCTGTTCTGGGATTAGGTGTCAAAGGTTGGAATTAAACTATAAAACTTAATCAGAAACCTGAAATACCCAGTGTGCGAGCCTCTGTCCCAACTATCTCCTTTCAACGTTTTCTTCTCTGTAGCTTATCAATTAGGCAAGATAAGTATCTCTAGATGACAATTCATAAATTTTTAATTCTCCATGGCACTGGGAATATCCCTGGAAAACTCTGACCCACTATGTGATGGATCTTACTTGGTAACAACTGCAGCATCCAGAAACAACCAATATTAGTTTCACATTTACGTTTGCTGCATATTAATCTCTGTAATTTCTGATCTTCTTAACAATTCCAAGCATATCAGTTTATTCAAATTTCAGAAATGGCTGCCTCGCTGAGATGAATAGGAGTAATCCCCAGTGATCATAGCTGCATGCAGGCTCAAGGCAGTTTGGATACAGCACTGGAAAAATGTTACAATTACGGAAGCTAAAACTGAGAGGATAGAAGCTGAGCGCAAGCCCGTGGCTAATACCATAGTTACAGAAGCAGAAGAAACACAAGGGTTTAGAACAGCTGAGGTGTTCTCAAATTATTCCTTGGCAAGTGACAAGCAAGCCCAAGTTTGAAGGGAGACTGTAGCATTCAATTTCTGCATTCAGGAAGGACAGGAATAAAGATATTCTCAGTAACAGAGTGCTTTCCAGCCACAGTTTTCCAAACATTGCATGGGGGAGAACAAGGGTCAGCACTGCTTCAGACAAGGCTGTCAGACATAAAATTCCTCTTCTTTTTAACCTGTCTTTGCCCAAAGCCCTGACACATAGTCCACTGACTAGTTGTATGTCGTCAATCTGCCTCAGAGCTGCCACTACACATAAGGTCTAGGAAAGAAGAGGACACCACCTTCTCTAGAAATTTATGCTGTCCAAGTTCCCCTAAATATCTCTTGAACTATTCAGCCACTCTTCTTTAAACATGCCTAACTCAAGCGCTGCTTTCTTAATTCTAGAACAAATTAGCCCTGTTTTCTTTCACTACTGGAGGAAGCGAAGAGATGTACGCAAAAGGAGGTATCAGTGGTGATATTCGCTATCTCCTGTGGCCCATGCAGGTATAATATATGAATATTTGGTTGTTGTTTGCCTTAATTGTTATTATTCCAATTCTTTTTAACAGTTGTATTATTGTTTATTTTATATGAAATATAATATAAAGAATTAAGCTGTCAGTTCCAAGCATCTGCAGGTTATAAATTGGGCCCTAAAATCCCAAGACTACTTTAAAAGTCCACAGAGTTTTAAAGTTGTTTTGTGCCCCTTCCTCCAGATTGGAACCTGGAGAAAGCTTATACTGTCAGCCTTTTAAGTTTCCCTGGTGTTATAGGATTTCCTTTAGCCCTAGCATGCAGGATTTCTTTTCCCCCTAACTACCTGATTCATGTCAGATGCGGGGCAGGAGGGGAGTCACACGTTATCCTGGCATTGATGATCAGCCTAAGAAAATTAGCATGCCTTTTTTTATTGCTACCGTTTTATCAGAAGTAGCAAGCATGCTTTGAGAAATGTAGGTGGTAAGGCAAATTGTGCCAGCTGCTTCTTGATATATTACAATGGATGTGCTTAAATTCTTTGGTCTCCTACCCATTGCGATTACTAGCTGTCTGCCCTCATGAGGCTATCTAGCTGCAGAGCTTGCAAGTCAACATGACAAAGAATGTGAAACGCAACTGTGAATTCAGAAATACACAGAGGGAAAATGGCACGTTGAGCTGATTTGAAATGCACTAGCCTTCATTCAGGATCGTTTGGCTAAGCCAGAGGCAAAAGGTTAAAAAAATACTTAGAAGCGGATGAGAAGTACACTGCAGTTCAGGAACAACCTGTGGAGATTCAAACAGTACAATGAACTTTAGGCTGTCTCTGGTCCTTGCAAATTTAATAGCATACAGCAGCCGAAGAGAACAGTTCTGTGGGTTTAATAGCACTTAAAAATAAATCCCACAAAGCAGAATAAATGAAGTTGCCCTTATTTTTCAGCATATTGTATGTCATTCCGCGTAATGCCTAGCCTTCAACAGTGACTGCCAGGATAGGTAATGAACTTTTGCAATTTATTTCCCTTCTCCTGATAAATGCACAGGTTTAGAAAACTTGCCTTATATTGGGTCAGAGAAACAGTTTCAGATTTGAATCTTCCACATTCTTGAATTGAAAGTGAAAGACTATTTCCTGAGGCGTTTCTTTCTTTGCTTTGAGTCCAGCATGGAATCATGCACTTTTGTGGTGTCAAAGTCCTTGCACCTCACATCTGCTTCGCTCCGGAGTATGTCTCGGAGGAGAAGAGGAAGGAGATGCTGATCGCCTGGGCCCAGCGTCTGAAGACTCTTTGGAAGGAAGAACCCATAAACTGCTCTCCTGAGTGGTATTTCAAGTAATGTTCAGGTTCAAGACTACAGAGAGAAGATTTTTTTTCTCCATTCTTTTTGGTGCTTTATCTCAATATCTGAATGCTAATCTCCTAATTCAAATGTATTATAGGTATCTTGAGTACTACAGTTAGCAGCTTAACTGACAATATAGCATTTATCTTCATTGATTCCTGAGGGATTCTCTTCAATGATGGGTGCAAAACTCTTTGTGAAGAATTATCCTTGCTCATACCGTTGCCGCTTGTGAAACAATAAAGTATATTGCCAAGTTTATTTTAACACTTTCTGTACCAGCTGCCACTTTTTTTAATTTGTCAAGGAATATGTTTCCGATACTCAACCTTGTTATGGCCAGTCCTGTTCTTTTAAATGACAGCTCTACATTTGTGCCTTTGAGCTATGAAGCCAGATCATGACTAATGCAAAAGAATGTACAGATGCACAGTGACTTAGACAACTGGAAAGCCTTGTGGACAGCCTTAGGCTTTGCCACATATTTACAAAGCAACATGAAAGCTATAACAGATACCAGAAAAGGAAAAAACCAAATACAAATATCATGTAGCAGTATGTGCATGTATTGCCTTTCTTTATGGCACGTAGCTCCCATTTGTAAAGTATGTAGTTTCCTAAAATCAAAAGGAGCTCTCTATTTTTTTTGCCCTAAGTAGAGACAAAAAGGAATCCTATCTGTTTGCTGCCCCTTCACACCAGTCAGTATGAGTCTGGAGGGTTGGGTGCATCCCCTCCAGCATCAGTATAGATGAGCTTCCCTGGAGATCTCCAGTACCTGCACTCGGCGAGGCAGAACGCCTACCCAAAAAACCTGCAGGAGCGCTGTCTGTCTATGAGCCAGGATCACAGCACAAAATGACTGTCTGGCTCTTAACATCCGTGATTTTTACCTTGGACTTTAGCAGGATTATTTTTGTGCTTGAGAGCTGTTAACCCTTTTTGTGCACATGGCAAAGGGTGGATTTCTCGCTTAGCTACACAATTTCTTGCTTTGATCAGCTTACCCAACAGCTGGCTTTGCACTTTGATATTAGAAGAATGTGGTCTGAATAAGAAACAGTCTTCTGAGTCACTGTCAAATGACACTTAGGCCTCTGCATACAGAGCATGCATCTGCCACACATTCTTTGTAGCAGCCTTGTCATGCCCCGCCATTATGTTTCTTTAAGGGCGATTTGGACAATAAATGTGCTGAGCCCAGATTCTGGAGCAGCAGTGTAAGCTGATACACCAGACAGGGAATTGCTACCACAGGGGAAGTGTCACGTGTTCCTGGTTGTCACCATATGTAGTGAAGGGCCACCTCTAGCAGAGACAGACCCCTGAAAGCAGTGCTGCCCTAAGCTGTTGCAGATGTCAGCTTCAGTGCATATGAGTCAAAGTCTTCAGGTTACACAAGCAAGAAACTTGCTTTGGCTCAATAACTCCTGGACAGAAAACAGAAAGTGAAACAGAATAAAATGGGAAATGTTATACACAGAAGTTGTGGGGAAAGCAGATTCTTGCCTAAAAGACTTCAGGAAAACAACTTTAAGTTAACTGAAGAGAGACTGAAGGACAAATGCAAATATTAAAATCGTATAGCAAATATTAAAATTGTATAGCAGAGGAATCATCCTTATGTTCACTGTGTTCAGTTACCAGACTATTCAAGAAAGAAGGAAATGGATATGAAAGCAGAAGTTGCAACTGTCAAACCAAACGTTGCTGTATTGGATCAATCACAGAGCTTAGTGGGTTTAACTGTTAGATGAAGAATCTCAGACTGTCCTATATGATAAAGATACATTTCTTGACAGTATTTGGCAGATGCGTTCCAGCTCCTACACACATGGTAGCATTAAGTGCCTGTATTAGACGACTGGAGATTTGTAACATAAGTATACAAGAGTGGCTGTGCTAGGTCAGAACAAGGATCTGCCAGGCCCGATTTTTTTCTCCACAGTGGTTATAGGCCAGGAAGAGCAAGCACTTTCCCTGAATACTGTCCTGGGCTCCAACTATATTTAGTTTGGGGGATTTCCTGAGCTATATAGGTTTTCTCTATATTTACCAGGCCAAAGAGATCTCTACAGTGGATTTTGTTCAGTCTTCTCTTGCATTTATGCCAACTTGAAGCAGCCAATATTTTTTTTCAAAG